CAAATATTGTCCTATCCTAACAAACCATACATCAATGGGAAGCTTGTTTATTTCAGGTGATGTATAAATCCCAATTTAAAATAATTTAGCCTTATGACTGGTTTTGTGGTCCAGGGTCACATATTGCTGTAGTATAAAAGTTCACTTGTTAACATGTTTTTTTTCCCTGAGAAGCAGCACCTAAATCAAAGTGTAACAATTTAAGGGACGTTTTATACTATATTGCGTCAATACCTTAATTTGCAATAAAAACTGCCTCCATTTGTAAATAAAAGACACCACTTCCTCCATTTGTTATTGTCTTGAAGAAACAGGATTATCCCTATCATTTGCTTCCATTCTGGACTGAGGGATCTTTGTGCAGTAAGACTCAACACACAGGCTTCTGAATGAATGAGTGGGTGGGCCATGACGTCAATGTGGTGGGACCTTTACAGATCCCATCCAGTGATGCGTTCCCCCTATCAGAGAGCTCACACTTTTTTGGTGAGTATATTGGAAATCACATTAATTTCTTTCTTATGTTATGCTAATGATATCTTTGCCATGGTGGGTGATGATATAAAACTTTGAGTCAGAAACTATGAAACAAACTGACACAAATTTCTCTTATTAACAGAATCAAAAAAGTGAAACTGTCACCTTTAATTTTACAACCACGCGTCAGCATGTTTTGTCCTAGATGACATTTATAAAACTAGATCAATCCTTCCTGTAATGAGACTGGGAATTGTGACTGTCAGGTTAATGAGCAACTATAGCAACCTTTGTTCACACTAGCATTTATGTATGAAGTATGAAGGTGTTCAGGAACAGTAATACTTTGTGAAAAGAGATGCATAGACACAGGCTGAGGCATTGAAGATACAGCTGGATGGTTAGGAATCAATACGGCTAATGATCATCTGTACCCTTACTGGGTCGCACCGAAATGGCCATGGCTAAGGAGAAGGCTTCAGGTCAGTACCTTCTCATGATACTGAAGCAGTCGGCATATTATAGTATGTGTTGTTGATGAAATTTAGTGTAGACGTAGTGTAGATATAGTACAAACTGTTTTACTTTAAAGTTATTGAATTGCCAATGAGATTTCAATGAGTCTTTCACAGTTCTGAAAAAGTTGTCATTGTTAGCAACTGGTCTACATTTGGGGGAAATTTTTTTCATAATTGTTAATCATGAACACAAGGGGGGAAAAGTGCGCATGACCTGATGGAGTTATAGACTTGAAACATGCAAATAACATAATATAAAAATATATAACACTTTTAGTCACTTTTAGGTATTCTAACTTTATTTCTAGTGCCACTGTGTTCTGAAATAGGTCAGAATGTAGTTTATAATGCAATACGTAACAGAAAGTGCATGTAAAGTTCTCAGCATTGCCACAAGAGGTGCTGTAGCGGATATTAGCACAAACAGTCTTCTTTTATGGTCAGTTTTCTCTTTTACGCCAACTAATGTCAATGTGGACCAATCTTGCAAAGCAAGTTGCAAGTCAACAAGTTTACAGCAATTTGCAAATGTAACAAATAGCGACAGATCGCAATGTAACAGAAGCAGTAACAGATCTTTTCTTCCATATTCTGTACATCCGAGAGAAACGTATAAAACAAAAAATATAGAACAGGGCCTGGTTCTATCCGCCATTTGTTGTTTAGATAGAAGCAGATCTAAATTTTAAGAAAGGGGCTTACGTAAAAACAAGCTCTTAATCATACTTCACCACAGAGAAGTTGGTCGTTTCACTGGAAGATCGAGTTATGACATTTTGATTAAAAATAACGAGCTCAAAATAAAAAAAGAAACACGCATTGATGAGTCATTTACAGAAAGATCTATAAGATGCATTTAGAAAAATAGTTTTTTCAATTTTTTTACTTTAACGCTATGGATATTTGAAATGAACTCTAGTGCCCCCTGGAGTACAGATCAATACAATGACTAAGCACTTAAGTATGCATTTGTGTACTTAAGTGTGCCTTGTTTAATAATAGAGCCAAAAACAGTAAGTGAATGCTTTTAAACCTACCTCCCACTCAACAGTCAAATTACAGTCAAACAGTCAAATCTACTAAAACTCCCTCAGACAGTAGTATTGTGTAAATCCAGAGTGCCTTTGGTTAATGATTTCTTTTTTTATTTCTGGGTGTGTTCGACTTCTGTATTATGTACATTTCATACAATCTACTGCTACTAGTTGGACAGAGGCTGATTATCTTCCTCAATGGATTTTAATACTCACTTATGAGGTAGTGGAGATCTTAATGGCCCTGATGATGTCTGCAAGGTAACAGTACCTTAGCATGTTGTAGTTTCACTAATTGTTGTGTTGGCAAAAGACCTATTAGCACACCATGCTGGGCTAACAGTAAGGTGAACTTGAGCTTTGCATCTCCATGACACATGTAAACTGACAAGCTCCGCTCACTCCTGCCATCTTCTCCTCAGATATTCTGGCAGAGCAGAACAGTCCTTTGCTACAGGACCAGGAGATCATGCCCTTCACCAGCTATCCCAGCATGCCGTACACCTCGGTGGAGCCCTCCATGTCATCACCATCATACTACTCCAGTCAGCATTGCTACCCACAGTACAGTGGAGAGGAGTGGTACTCTCCATCCACCGTGTTTGAGATGAGGAAAGGATCGTTGGAGGGTGGCTTTGATAATGAGCTGGACGAGTCTTGCCCTGTTGTCCCAACTGTGTGTAAAAGGTCCAGACACACAGCCCACCCTGGAAGGAGCAAAGGCGAGGAACTGTGTGTGGTCTGTGGAGATAAAGCATCAGGGTATCACTACAATGCGCTCACATGTGAAGGATGTAAAGGTGAATTACATAATTTACAGTATATTGGCTGCCGTTTTCCGCCATGAGAACATGTATTTCTGAACAAGATTTTCGTAGGGTCGGGAACCAAGAACTGGTTCTTATTCAGAATAGTGGGATCGATCTGATGTTTGGTACTGTTAACTTAAAGGGGTCATATGATGCAATTTCAATTTTTCCTTTCTC